GTTTTATGTGTCTCAACACACCAGATGTGCCTGGAAACCAGGGTTTGAAAGATCAGTTCCTGGGCTTGCGCTGGGTCAAGGATAATATTGCAGCCTTTGGAGGAGATACTAACAAGATAACTATTATGGGTGAAAGTGCAGGCGCCATGTCCATAGACCTCCATTTAATTTCTAAACAGGAAAAATTATTCAATCAGGCTATAATGCAAAGTGGTAGCGTTTTCCATCCTACGCTTATTGAAGACGCGGATACTACTAAGCCTTTGAAAATCGCTGAACGTTTAGGTTTCCAAACCGACGATTTATCTCAGGCATTAGCTTTCTTAAAAGATACTGACGTGAAGTTAGTTATCGCAGCCTTTGAGGAGTTGGGTTTAACTTTTAACATTTGCGTTGAGAAAGAGTTTGAAGACATTGAGAGCATACTGACAGACCATCCAATTAACATGGATTATCCTAAAGCTAAACGCATACCTATCTTATCAGGTTTTAACAGTCATGAACAATTAGGTCTATATGCAAGTAAAAATGCCGAATACTTCAAAAATCTGAAGATATTTAGTGAATTGGACGTAATATTTAACTACGACGAAGACTTCCAAGAAATGGAAGATTTGGTGCGTCATTTCTACATTGGAGACGAAGATATAACCGACGCTGTACGTTGGAGTATAATAGATTTCAGCTCAGATTATTATTTCAACTTTCCCGTACAGAAGAGCATACAAAAGTACCTTGAAAATGGAGGTCAAGATGTGTATCAGTACTTATTTGCATACAGCGGGAATATAAATTTTTTTATGAATAAGGATAATGTGACAGTAGAAGGTGCGGCTCATGGTGATGATGTTGGCTATTTGTTTGATTCATCCTTTGACAAGGAGCAGCCATCTGAAGCTGATCAACGAATCATTGATCAAATGACCACGCTTTGGACAAACTTCGTCAAGTACGGGTGAGTTATAAAAACCTTATATTTGCTTCTATACATTACTTGATATGAGAAATTGCGTGCAAAATAACTTTTGTAATTTTAAAACAATGATTTTTATAGGCACTGCATATCGGACAGCAATTCTCAAAAATGAAATTAAAAAATGTTGCTCAAAACTTTATCTTTCCCACAAATTGGCAAAAACATTAGATATTATTTAACTTTGATCGTGCAGCTAGCAGCTTTAATAAAAGAAATACAATTTTTCAGAGAGCCTACACCTGAAGTATCAGACTTGCTGCCCGTACAGTGGGTCCCTACCACCAAGGACATAAACAGCTACCTCTTGATAGATACTGAGCTGAAAATGGACAAACGACCGTACAATCAAAGACTGACATTTTGGGAGTTATTCTATAAAGCCAACGAGAACAAGATAAAAGGAAAACGTAACGACTGAAGAAGAAGAAGCCACTAAAAATCAAACTAATAAAAAAAAACACCTTGTATGATAAAATAAACCCATAACATAGGTAATATACCCATAGGTATTAAATAAACCCAAAACAATGTATCATTTTCGATTCGATTTTGCAATATATGAGTGTATCTAAATGTAAACTTTTCAATATATGGTGATATTTTTTAGGGGTCCATACTCGAAGAGTGCCACCGAGACCTTATTACTAGGCTTAATTCCGTCTGTTTGTCAGCGGACTGTATCTCATGAACCGTAATAGGTGAAGGGTTGAGAATTTCAGAGTATGTACTTTTATTGTCGCCACAATAACAAATAATAAATAAACCAAGATGGTTAATTTTAAAAATGGCCGCCATGCAAATAAAAAAAACTCCGATTAAGCTGATATTAATCATGCGTGTTCAGTCCTATTAAGAATAATATACGAAAATAAAAAAAAATACATGGTGTTATAAATTTATGTTTAAATCTGTATTTGTATTTGTTACTAACCCTTGTGTATAAGTGTAGTTTCTAAAGTGTTACTATCAAAAATGGTTCCGTTGTTGTTCCCAAGAAAAACAATTATTATTATTATTATTATTATTATATCTTGTACGATGGGACCCTTCGTGTGCGAGTCCGACTCGCACTTAACTGGTTTTTATTTATTTAATTTTATTGTATGCAACTCTAAAAAATTTAATATACACTATATATATAATAAATTGTCTTCACTATTTATGAATAGACACTATCGTACTACTAGTGTCCCGCAGCTCCGTCCGCATAGTATATCTATATCGAAATAAATAATTATTTACGTATGTTGTTACTCCGATTTATAAGCTATATTACTGGAAAATTTTAATCAAAATTAGTTTAGTAGTTTTTGCGTAAGAGTAATAAGCGTACATCCTCACAAACTTTCACGTTTATATAGCATTACCTGGGCTACCTAGCTTCGCTCAGCGTTAGTTGCACATAAATGTTTATTTTTCTTTATAAAAAAATTCAGAAAAACCATCTCCATATATACACATGTAGGTAAACTTAAAAAGCAAAACCTTATCTAAATACAAAATTTGATCCAAATCGTTAGAGCCGTTTTCGAGAATGTGATTATAAATATATATACTCGTATACTAGCGACCCTCCCTTCGCTTCTGGTGCGTCCCTAGGCACGGATAATTCCGTAATACATTGTTTTTATATTAACTCTATTGGATTTTTTTATGAAACATAAATTCGAATCTTGAGTAATTTTTAAGGGTTTTCGACTTACTTAAATCTTCTTCTTCCTGCCCATTTCCCAAATTACTTGGGGTCGGCGCAGGAAATCTTCCTCTTACATTTTCCCCTATTACTCGTCATCTCATCATTCGCCTCTTTTAAGTCTTGTCTCACACAATCTATCCATTTTTTCCACGGTCTTCCTCTACCTTTCCATCCATCTAATTCATTTCCATCACTCTTCTCGTCACATGCGTTTCACCCCAATAATATAATACCAACTTAGATGACTTCCTTTCAACTTCTCTGTCACTGGTGTTACTTTTAAGCTTCCTCTTATATACTCATTCCTTATTTTATCCATTCTTTATTTCGATTTACCCAAATATTTCAGGTATATAACAAACCCTATATGTAGCCCTACAATAAGTATCTACGGTCGGATGCTGGATTGCCGGGCACTACTGAGCCTTCTTCTTCTAGACTACTTCTTATAGACTTCCCAACGAGACGGACAGAGACAGAGGTACAAAATTAGTCCTTTCTTAAAATCACAATGGAGCCAGTTATCATATAGAATTACTATACATATTTATATATTAATTATAATTATAGTGATTATCTTCACTTTTCTTTGAACTATGATTGTTATAGTCGCAAGCCACAGAAGCCATCGAGACAAAATATTTCAAGTTTCCTTTAAAGAAAGTCTGTTACACCTAATTGCTTTTTATTATTAAAATAATCACAAATATCAAAAACACTGTAAGTCACCAGCTGGTTACTATTGCAAGTGGCTTCATATCGTTGAAGACGATAGTTTCTTTATTATTAAGTCTCTCTCCAACTTACGTCATCTCTTAGTAAGATAAAGCAGTGAAAATTATAGGTTTATTGGTTCAGTTTAATACGAGTCCCTCATCACTAACATATTTTGTATTTAATATATAAAGATTATATTTATAATGTAGTTTCTAATCAGTCGATAGTCATAGACAATTAACTATCCCTAGATAATACTTTCTTAGATTTACGCGAATATTTGACATTTTAAATAAAACTATCTATTCGGATTTTTGCGCGAATTTATTTTGATTTTTTGTTCGGGAGAGACTAAAGTTTTAGATGCCACAAAAGTTATTATAGTTGTTACAAACAGTATCTACCCGCAAAATTACCAATAATTTACAAAATAAAGAAAAACCAAATGGCAACGAAGTACTTTACAATATTTGTAACTTTTTAACATCAAATATTTGCACAAATACGAAAGGTATCATTTCCTCTTCACTAAGTTGTTAAGGGGTCCGCCAGAACAAAAAAAGTTTATATTTTATCAGTATTAGAATTAAAATTTTCTGTTACAGCAACACCAATATATGTAAAGTTCTTCCGATTATAATTGCTTCCATTTACGAGTATATATTTTATTTCACATATGTTCTTTATTTCTAAAATTTATTTTCTTTCTCTCTCTCTGTATACTTTGTATTTAGATTTATAGAAAAAAATACGTTTATTTTTCTTATTCTGTGAATAAATTGACAATCTTTTGTAATAAATCTTCTGTTTTTGCGGTGGTTTTGTTGGATTTTCTTTAAAAAATATACAATACGGGTAGTATTATATACTGTACTAGTGGCTTACCCTCACTTTTCTCGGGTGCATCACTAGCTGTCTTTATATCATACATTTTATTGCTTCATTTCAAACGGTCTAAGCAGCGCACTCCTATAGAGCAACTCAACAGCCAGTTTTACGGCCATAGTGGCGCAGTTAGCTTATATTGCTAAAATATTCTATCATTGTCCTTAATGAAGAGTTTCATAATAATAATACTCTTAACTTAGTTCGGTTGCTTCTCTAGATGCCTATCACTAGCCTCTCTATTACTCCAATGATATCAGGTATATAGGATCTGGATTTGAACCTGCATTACTCTGGGAATTACGTTACTTATTACTGGGCTACTGCTACTAAAAGGAGACATTATGTTATTCCAGTTCATAATCTATCTGTGCACTAAATTTGATCCAAATCCGTACAGTCGATTCAGCGTGAAAGAATAACAAACATATATACACACACAAACAATAATCACAACTCTACTAATATTATAAAGAGGAAAGATTTTTTGTTTGTTTGCTTATTTGTTTGTACCGAACAAGCTCCGAAACTACTGAACCGATTTAGATGAAATTTGGTAAGTAGATAGTTTGGGACCCTGGGAAGAACATTGGGTAGTTCTTATCCCGGAATTCATCCCTTTTTTTAAAGGAGGTGAAAATGGACAGGAAAGTTTGTATGAGGAAGCAACCAAAAAACACAATAGAAAAACTAAAAATATAATAGAAGTCCAATAACATACCATCAAATGAATAAAGCAGTTGACCCATATCCCATCAACCCCATCCGTCGATTAAATATGTGCTCCCCAAACCTATGTTTTTTTTTTTTTTTTTTTTTTTTCTATTTATTATAAGGGCTTTTATTTCAAAAATATGCCAGCCCTATCATACCTTAATCTACATAGTTACATAAACCGGATCTTAACAAAATTATATACCATTTTGGCCTCCTCAGAAGTAGGAAAGGACAAAATGGTATTAAAATTACCTACATCGAAAATATTTAGATTCAATGATTTAATTAGGTTTTTCCTTTGTTTATCGTACCGGACACATTCCATTAATAAATGATAAACATCTTCATATACTCCACATACATCACAGTTTGGTGAGGGTGATTTTTTCATAAGAAATAAAAAATTATTTAATGGCATATGTCCGGAACGCAATCTATGTGCTATTTTAATTAAAGTTCTATTACTAAAAATCAAATCAAACCAGGGAGCACGAGGCGGCTGACATTGCAAAGTTCTGTACCAGATTCCTTTTTCTCTAGAGCGTTCATCGAAATATTCTTTCCACATATTATATATTTTATTTTTTTGTGATATTAAAACTTCAGAATAATTTGGAATAATATATACTTTAAAGCCTTTTGTACATCCAGCTCGAGCTAGTTGGTCAGCCTCCTCATTTCCCTCTAAACCTATATGCGATGGGACCCATTGCAACTTCAGATCCATATCTAATTGTATTGCTCTATTTATCTTATCTAGAATAGCATAAGCTACCGGAACACCTCTTAAGCCAGAGGCGCACCGAGCTAAATGCTGCAATGCACTTTTGCTGTCAGTAAAAATGACAATTCTACGATATTTTTTTGTAACTGCATAAGATATAGCTTCTGAAATAGCAAATAATTCCACCGACATAATACAAATATTTGTTGATGTTATATTATATATGCTACTACTTTTACAACTTTGATCATAAAAGGCAGCTCCTACCATTGTCTCTGATTTGGCTCCATCTGTATATATTTTAATCGAATTACTATATTTATAATTTATTTCTTGTAAAACGTTAGCTTTAAGTTGATTGATTTCATATAAGTTTTTTTGCCTTATCAATACATTCCAAATTAGTATAAATGGTTCTATATATATCTATATTTGTTAACCACGTATTCATGGTGAACATTTTCAAAGTGCTAGATGAAAACAGTTTCTCATGTTTAATTTCACTATATATACAAGGCAGCAAAGGTTTCTTTTTAGAACGCCAAAAAGGTTTTGTACTAATGTAGTAATTTAGTTCATCAAATAATTTACTTGTTATATTGTTTGACCAAGTTCGTAATTTAAAACAGAATTTCACAGCCAAGTAATATCTTCTTAAGTATAAGGGTGGAATGCAAAGTTCATACTCCATTACATGAATAGGTGTAGATTTAATAAATCCCCCAATTAACCGCAAAGCTTGATTTTGAATAATTTCTAATTTACTTAGGTGTGTTTTTGCACTATTATCATAGAAAAAAACAACCGTAATCAATTTTACTTCTTATTAGACATATATATAATTTTCTTAAATATTTTGGGTGAACTCCCCACGAAGGTCCAGTTAACATTTTTAACATATTTAAACTTTTTGTTGCTCTTTGAGCTAACTCACTTATGTGTTTATTCCATAAAAGAGATCGATCTAGCCACATTCCTAAATATTTAATATGGTTTGTAGAAGTAATTGTGTTATTATTAACGCTGACTGTAACATGATCATTCCGTCGCTTCCTACTAAAAGTGCACAGCTTAGACTTACTAGTTGATAACTCTAATCCTATATGATCTAGAAATGTGACAAACAAATTTAATGCTTCCTGAATACTAATTTTGCTTTCGCTTATTTGGCCATGATGTGAAAACAAAACAAAATCATCAGCATACTGACATATGAAGACATTTTTAATTAGTTGATGAATTTTATGCGTAGCAATATTAAAAAGCAGTGGAGACAGAGGGTCACCCTGGGCTAGGCCTTTGTTTGTCCTTCTAGTTTTCTCTTTATTATTAACAATATTTTTGATGCTTAGTTGTCTTTCACTTAAGAAATTCCATAAATATATACAGAATTTACTTCCCATACCTAAATTATCTATTATTTCTAAAACTTTATGTATCAAAATATTATTATATGCATTTTCAATGTCAAGGAAGCATGCCAAGGTTGGCATATTTTTCGAAAATCCAATTTGTATTTGTGTAATTAATCTGATTAAACAGTCTAAACTGGATTGAGCTCGTCTAAATCCTGTAACATTAGGTGCTAAAATATTATTTTTCTCTACAAACCATTCCATTCTCTTACTAAGCATTACGTGAAAAATTTTACATAAACATGACAAAAGTGATATAGGTCTTAGTTTATCCGTATTACCTGCCTTAGGAATTGCCACTACTAAAATTTTATGCCACTGTTCAGGGACTTTACCTGTTAGAAAAATGAGGTTGTAAAATCTAAGAAGAGTCAGTTTACCATTAGTTGGAAGATTAAAAATCATAGAGTATGTTATTTCATCTTCTCCTGGGGCCGTATCTTTCTTTTTGATGCAAAAATTTAGTTCATGTAGACCTAGGTCAGATTCCAAATACAAGTTATTTGAATAAAATTCTGGTGTATTTAATGGTACTGAATCAGGAGCTAAATTACAAAGAAGTTCTTCACCTTGTACATCAGTTATAAGGGATGGATAGTTCTTACTTCCCTTTATCCACTGCATTTTATGCCACATTTCAGTATCCGATTTAGTTTCATCTATAGAGTCACAAAAATTATGCCAGTCATTTGATCTAGCCTCATAAAGTTTAAGTTGCACTTCTTTTAGTTTATCCTCCAGTAGTTTTAAATTTTGTGGAATAGGATTTCGCCGTAGATTCTTCAGGGCTAATCGTCTCTGGGCTACGAGATTCGATAAAACAGGGGTCCAATATCGTTTAGGTGTAAATTTTTGTGTAGGGTTTAAGCACATTTTATATTTTGGAATATATTCATCGGCGGCTTTGTTTATAAGATTTACAAATTCATCATATATATCCTGTACATCATTACTATGCTTAACATGTTTAAACAAACTTTCTAAATATGTTTTATAACCTACCCAATTAGCCAATTTATAGTTTCTTTTGTTTATAAAGTTAAAACTAGTTTTATATTTCAGACTAAATTTAACAACTAGATGGTCGCTTCCTAAATTTTCATTAAGTGTAGTCCAACTAAATTTAATTGCTATATTTGTTGAAACAAAAGTTATATCAGGAGAAGTTTCTGTTAAAACACCATTTACTAATTTCACCCTGGTGGGGCTACCATTATTTAGAGAAATAAGATCATTTTCAATTGAAGAATTTAAGAGGTGATTGCCTCGTGTATCATTTTTATAGGACCAATTGGTATGATGCCCATTAAAATCCCCAGCAATTAAAGATGATTTTGAAAACTCAGAAAATATACAATTCCAATCAGTTTGCGATGTCTGTACAGAGGATGGGCAATACACGCAGACAATATTTTGTAAATATTTACAATTATAAAGTTTAACATGAATAATTTCGATACCATTATTACTAAAAGTTGTTGGGCATTTTTGTGATTTGATTGATCTATGTACCAAAATAGCTACACCACCATAAGAATCATATCTATCTTTTCTATATACATAATATTCGTTAAATTTAATTTCAAAATCAGAATCAAGCCAAGTTTCACTTACCAAAGCTATGTGGATACTTTCTCTATTAAGTAAGTTTTCAAACTGTAATCTTTTTGGATATAAACTCTGCGCGTTCCATTGCAGTATATTTAATTTAAAGTCTCTATCCATCACTGAAATGCTTAAAAAAATCTTTCAGAAATTTTCCACCTTCAAAGAAACTACTAACAAATTTTATCAATTCATTAAATATTATCTTTACACAAACACAGATTTTTTCTTCCCAGGTCACGCTGTCTTCTAAGATTGCACTTTTTAATTTTATTAACAGCCTCTTAAATGAAAATGCGAACTCCTTTCTATCTCTGTTTTTACTATATTCTTCCGTAGATTTATTTTCTCCTTCGACATCTGACTCCGTTTCTTGGTTTCTAGACTCCATAGTTTGTTTTGTGTTGTTTTTTTTCTTTTTTCTTTTACGTGTTTTTTTAGACTTTGTTGACTTTTCTTTTTCACTTGCTTCACTATCAGAATACACCTCAGAACTATCAGGACATCTTGACTTCTGTTCATTAACTTGCATTACTACATCTCTGTATGTTACAATTGGTTGAGATCTCGTTAGGTTTTCTTCATCGGTTTGTAAATTTATGTGCGAATTTTTGCTTCTTTCTATTTCTAAATAATGTTGTAAAGCTTTTCGGTACGTATAATTTTTTCGACTCATAATGTATCTAATTTCTTTTTCCTTAACAAATACAGAACATGATTTATCCATAGACATATGGGGACCCTTACAATTAACACACTTGTATATGTGAGTCTCACAATTTACATGATTGCCACCACATTTAGGGCATACAGTTTTATTTGTTGGGCAGCTTCTTACGTAGTGGCCAAATTTCCAACATTTTGAACACTGTGTGACTGGAAAAATATACGGTTCTATTTTGAATCTACACCCATAACCATAAACATATGGCGGTACGGTCTCACTATTGAAACATAGTCGCACTGTTTCGCTGTCCGTCCAGTCACCCTTGTCTGTTTGTCTTTTGAGGCGTTTTACAGAGATTAACTCAGCATCACACTTAAAAGCTTCTTGAATTTCTTGCTCACTAACTTCTAGCTCAACCTGTCTAACTATGCCATATGACAAGTTATTTTCTTGTGTCGATTGACATCGGTATCCCATTTCCTTAATTTTTTCGGAGTTTAAAAGTTTTTCCGCTTCAAATTTTGTATTTAACTGTATCAAAACTTTATATGGATTTTTATATTTTATTTTTATTATATTGGGTATATTTAAAGAACGCATAAACTTAGCTAAACCAATTTGTTTCGGCAGTGGTTCTTTGGAGGTCATGGAAATTTCGTACAAATTTTCTGATTTATCTGCACTCTGTGAATTACTCCGCGCTAATCTTTTTGGGTGTTTTCCCACGGTAATGAAGCCATTTTCATCTTCTTTATCTGAATTTTCTTTCCTTGATCTCTTCTCTGGTCTTAAGATAGGAGATGTCGTCGGAGTCTGCTCATTAGCCCAAATCAACTCTTCATTTATTTGTTGGTCATCTACAGTATTTCTATCTACCTCATCACACTCAATTTCATAGCGTATCTCACTTCCTATACTTTTTTCACCCATTTTATTTTACATTTATAATGAGGGTATTTAAAAAAAAAAGATAATAGATCGTTAAATGTGATATTACGTGCAACTACTTCGCCGCATCACACTCAACTGCAAACCTATGTTCTATTATGTCATTTATCTCAGCTATCATCAACTTCTCCCGTACTGAACCATGAAGCCTCACGAATGGTTCAGTAACAAATGTTTTTAATAAACCGTTAATTAAAACTTCAGCTGAAGAAGAATTTGGGAAAGATTTTAAGTCTGCAAGAACCGTTGCTATATCTTCGGCATCACTTTGTAAGTATACAGTATTAGTGATATCTAATAAACTGTTGATGTCTTCTTTGAACATAGAATTTCTATTCTCTAACGCATATATGACATAGGACAGCTGACCTGGAAAGAGAATTCTTAATTTAGATGGTTGTTGTTAAACATACACAATAACTTAAAGGCATATTCAAATAATAAATAAACACTCAGAACCATCTAGTTCCATGGTAAGCTACGAGGCCTGTATTATGGATACCAGATAGCTGATACACTACACATACATAACTTTAAATATATACGTATTATAAATATAAATAACAAATGAATGCCCCCAGCGGGACTCGAATCCGCGTCCACTGACACTGCACGTAGCGCCACTACAAACAGAGCCAAACGTGTCGTCGAAAATGTTCAAATTGAATTCAAATTCCATTATATTTTTTAAATTGAATGTTTTCGACATTATTTTCATCTTCAAAGTATTCAATTTCGGTACAATTTTACAAAATTAGAAAATAATTAGAGAAAAGAATTTGACTGTAATCATCAGTTCAGAGAAGAGATCAAACACTTGACAGGTATATTCTAGCATGTATGGTTTTCTTCTCTTTGTGTTTATGCCTTTAATCAGTATACAGTGAAGAGAAGAGTTGAGGAAGAAACAAGAGAAGATAATTTGATATACTTTGCATTACATCCAAAGGCTCGGGCACCAATATTTGTATGGCAGATAGAAACACTTCTGTTGGTTTTCCTCCAAAAATGGTTAAAAGATTCTCTCTATCTCGCCTGTTAAAGTAAGAAAAAAATTTAAAAATATACTGGCCTACCGTTAACTAATAATAAATATTATGTAGGGTTTTGTGGTAGGTGTACAAAACTGAAACTTCTTAAAACAATTACCCTTAGAACTGATTAACACAGCATAGATGTGACTTTCAGCAAAAGCAAAAAAAGAAGTCAATTTGATATTCTATCCCTTTTCTTGCCATTTCATTTAAAACAGGATAAAGAATGAATTTTCCAAATGCATATCTTTAAAATTTTCCACATTTCATCTATTTGTTTATAAATGCTTTTTACAAATATGTAACTTTTTTTTTCTTTCTGTATCTATTAATAATTAATGGATACAAAAAGAACTAACTATAATCTACGATTATGGGTTCAACAGTGGGACGTGAAAAAGGGCTGAATACTGTACTACCTTTCTAACTCGAATTCTAAAGTGCCCAGTAAAGTTCTTATGTAAGATCTCTCGAACGTCAACAGGATGCGCAAAAGCATGATTAAAGATGCCGTAAAATATCCGTCCTTCCGATGTAATTCCTTTATGTCTTCAAGAATTGGATTTGGAGTAGAAATTTCTATAACATGCGCTGAAAATGTACATTACACTTTGACGTTTTAACCTTTAATACTTTCTTAGATTTATGCGAATATTTTAACATCTATACATATAATAAAACTGTAGAAGTCGAATATCTGTACATAGAAAAATAAATGCTAAAACCGAGTCAGGGGGATGTAAAAATAGAAAAAATCCAAATAAAAAGAAATATTTTTAATCAGATGACTAATTTTAAGAATTTTTCAGCTCGCTGTCTTTGAAGGCTGATTTTAGTCAAGGTAGCCCCATTGAGTATTACTTTTGTTTTAATGATTGTAAAAGCTGAGAGTTTGACGAATTCTTAAGTCTACTTAAGAACCATAATTTTTTATTTAAAGTTGAAAATTTAAGTTATAACTGACCGAACGTAAATTTTTCACTTAAGACCAACATTTTCATAACTTTCATCACAGTTACAAAGCTGGTTATTTTATTCATAAAAGTACTACTTATGATAATATTTCGTGATTTCATTTTCGATACAAATTAACAGGTAGTCCTTTGACCTACAAGGCAACACTCGCACGCTTTAAGAATTTTATATTTATTTATTTAGTATCGATTATTTTTAACTCGATTAAAAATCAATTATTCTACCTCCCCACTAGCCATACTACGTAGCCATGACAGTTCATTCTTTTTCCGTGCGAGGCAACGAGCGCACGCGCTCCTAGCTACAAGTTGTTAAGAAAGTAAAATTATTTTGATTTTTCAAAGTTCACTATACCTAAAAGATCGTTCGAAGAGAAGATGGAGTATTATTTTCAAAAAATGAAAAAATTGAGAGATAAACATCAACGTAAACGTCGGCGTTTAAATTCGTTCTCATCTTCAGATGAAGAAAAAATAGATAATGTTCATGGTGCGTGGTGTATCCAAAATCATATTTTCGCGAAAGAATCGTACAAATACTGTTCAATTTGAAAGTACCTTTTGTTACGATGATTTGCCAAAGATTCTAATTAGAACACGGCAAAATTATTAACCTACCCGCCATAGATTCAAAAATGAACAAGGCGTTACTATTCATGTTTTTATGCAGGTTATAGATTCAAGTTATGAACTATTCCTGTTTATCGTCATTTTATTTTTGACTTACATAACCTATTGGTCGTTGTCGTTGACCTCTAGAAGGCGAAACTTCGACGGTGCACCTAACCGAGCCTGACCAGGATGGAGCGGTGCCATTATCCGATTTGGATGAACATGCTATCGCCACTGCGTCACCGATAATGGATGAACGCAATACACAAAATGATTTACCACTGCCACCGCCACCAGCACCGGCACCGGCATCGGCTGCGGCGCCGTTAGAGACCGCGACTTATCCACTCTTGACCCCGAAATTCTATCCGCCCTCGGTGAGGCCACTGATTCGGGACCAACGTGGGGTCAAGAGATACATAATAATTTGACCCAGCTCTGGCTCACATTGTTAAAAACAGGTATGGACAAGAAAGTTAGAGAAAAGGTATTAAAACAATACCTTATTCCCAGCAATTGCACTTTGTTGCAAGCCCCAAAGCTCAACATTGAGATATCGGCGGCAGTTATAAAAATGGTCAGATTGCGTGACAAAAAAGTCGAGTTTATGCAACAACAATTTGGTGCAGGGATCACCGCTATCAGCCGGGCTATGTCGACATTGTTGACAAGCGACAATAAAATAGATGCGATTAAAATGCTCAGCGACGGTTGTCGCATTTTATGTTTTTTGCATCATGAAACCCAGGCTAGGATCAAAATGATCACACTAGGACTAGCAAATCAAAAAGACAGTGCCTCCACTGAGGTATAATTCAGTTGCTCCCAGCACAAGTGCGGCCCGTCAACCATTTCAGGGAAACTGGACCGGGCCTCCTCGATACTCGACAAACAGGGGGGGCGAGGGGGCTACAGGAAGTTACCCACATCGTCAAGGCGACCAGCAATAACCCCGTTGGCGCAACCACGTTATAACATTATATATATTATAAAGAATAGAAAAAACATTTTTTTTTGTTCAGCTTACACAATAATAATACACATTCGTCATTCTTCGTTCTTAAAAATCCCTTAAAAGTCGATTCAACTAGTTTGGACACTTTTGAAATGTTTTTGTTACATGCAAATCCACCCAGCAGAGTGGAGCGAGGGTGAGTCGCTAGTAACCCTATACTAGCCTAACTTTAAAATTATAAATAATTAATGAAATTTTAGTTATTATTGTCACAAAGTCACGTGCTCCACCACGTCCTTAATACAGGTACATGCGGGTCGCGTTTAATTTTTTATAATTGTTGACTCAACATTACAGATAATGTTAATATTCTTAGCTGGGTTCTAAATGGAGTACCTATTCCATTTATAACCAAGCCGTATCAATCAAATGTACCGCGACTACGATGGTCATCAAAAGAACAAACAGCATGAAATGTACATGGCTATCGATAATTTACTTAAACTATGTAGGTTCCTTTTCAAAATGTGAAGATCAGTTTCTTTCAAGTATGTTTTTAGCCCATAAGCCTAATGGTACTAAAAGGTTTATTTTGAATCTAAAATTATTAAAGGAATTATACTTATACCTATCGATATATAATCTCGAAAATACTTTCGATTTCAGTATATCGCACCAAATTCAAAAGAAACTATAACGTACGAGTTTAGTGTTTTATGTTACGGACTAGGGATAGCACCTAGGTGTTTTACTAAGATAGTGAGAGAAGTCGACACACACTTATGTAGTCGGGGTCACAAATCAGTTTGCTATCTTAACGACATTTGTTGCTTAGCTAAGAGCTATGATAAATGCCTTCGTAATGTTCAAGCGACGAAGCATTGTATGAGTGTTTAGGTTTCGTAATAAATTACGATAAAAGTCAATTACAGCCACAGCAAGTGTGCAAATTTTTAAGGATTTATATTCATATACCACTCAAATGACCCTTAAGTTACCTTTATATAAACGTAATAAGGTAGCCTGTACGGTTCAAATATTTGCTAAATTACCCATTGTCATCATTTGTGAGTTTTCTTAATTAATAGGCGTCTTTGTATCAGCTTGCCCAGCAGCATGCTAGGGTTGGCTGTTATAAAAATATTAGAACGACAAAAATACATATTGTTAAAACAACATGGTTCATTTGAAGTTAAACGTAAAACTATTTTTTCGGATTTTTTCGCGAGCTTATTTTGATTTTTGGTTCCCGATGTTTTGAATGCTGTACAACAATCAAGGTCACGGGAGAGACTAAGGTTTAAGATGTCTCAAAGGCATTATATAGTTTTTACAGGCAGCCTACCCATAAATCAACAAAAATGAATTCAAAAAATTCAAAATTGGCATTGTTCCTTACAATATTTGTTAATCTTAATTTAAACATTTTTAAAATATTAATGAGTTTTATAGTTAAGTATGGAATATTATTTATTTCATTTTGGCTATTATTATTATAATTATTAAATTATTTTTTTAGAAAATTTAAATAATTGGTAATGTTATTTAGTGTTGCCATTATTATATTTCTAAACATAAAGGAAATAAAATTGTAATTATTTAAAGCAACATTATGTTTAAATTGAAATTAATCAAGAATAATAATATTCATTAAAGTTTATATTCCCATTCACAATAAGATGAAGTGAGATATTCTTTTACACTTTTCCCCCTTTTGCTTTGATATTAAATTGCACACAAAATATTATTCAAGATAAAGCTAAGCTACAGCTGGTATACTTATTATTATTTCTGATGTGGCCTGCACAGGATTGGTACCCACAATTAGTGGACTTATTAGTTACTGATATAGTTATTTTAGACCCTCGGCCAAACTTAGTACTCTCACATTTCAGACAGCAAAACCCACTCCACCGGACGCTTACCCTGGGTGCAGTGGTGCTCTCCGGTGCGCGTTCTCCCGCCCTACCGCCGGTACGGTCGGTCTACCGCCCTAAATTTAATTATTGGGTCGCTGTCGGATAAAACCTTGCAGCAGTACGGGGTTTGTTACAAGCTGTGGTGGAAATTCTGCCACGATAACGATTACAACGTATTTGATACCTCGGTTGCCCATATTATATCTTTTTTATCAGAATTGTTTGAAAGTGGTGCGTCCTATGACACGCTTAATAGTCATCGTTCAGCCTTATCATTATTCCTTGGCAATAATCTAGGTTCAGATGATTGTATCAAAATGCTAATGAAAGGAATATTTAGAATGAGACCGTCATTGCCGAAATACTCAAGTACTTGGGACTCACAAATAGTGTTAGGTCATATTTCAGATTGGGTTCCTAATAGTCAATTAAGTTTAGAAAAACTAACCAGAAAACTAGTTATTTTACTGGCATTATGTACGGCACACAGAGTCCGAACGTTTTCTTTAATTAAAACAGATAACATTAAAATAAAAACGAATGGAGTTGAGATTGTAATATCAGATATGATTAAGACTTCAGGGATAGAACGAGACCAGCCAGTTTTGTTTTTGCCCTTTTTCCGCGAAATTTTTTCGATTTGTTGACTTATCTATGACTCGAGACTTAAGATCTTCTCGAGTACTGATCATCTCTTAATTACTGTGAAGCGTCCGCACATGGGCGTATAAGCAGATGGATCAAACAAACGTTGTGCGCGAGCGGTATCGACGTGGCGGTGTTCGGCGCGCACAGCGTCCGGCACGCCGCCACGTCGGCTGCGCGCGCGATCGGCCTCAGCGTCGACGTAATCTGCAAAACTGCTGGCTGGACTGCGTCATCCCAAACTTTTGCCTAATTTTATCATACAGGAGTCAAATTTTGCAAAATTAGTTTATTTGCCGTCCAATAGTAATCATTCAGAATAAATTTAATCTTCGTTTGGTGATCAATTGTATTGAAAAAACTTAAATTATTAAGTATTTGTAATGGTTAAATATAATTACCATAAATGATTTAATAAATAAATTGATTTTTCACTCTTACTTCGCATTTCATTTATCGTGTACAGATAAACCCACGATAAATACTGACAAAACTCAATCTCTAAACATCTACCTGTTAATTTGTATCGAAAATGAAATCACGAAATATTATATATGATCAAACGAACTTCTCAAGTGAAGTTCGATCAATATAATATGAGTGATTTCATTTGAAGATACAAATCTCCCACCCGCCCATATCCCAGTTTTGTAGAATACGAGAAGAGTGAAAGTAAATCGTTTCTTTAAAAGAATGAACTGTCATGGCTACGTAGTATGGCTAGTGGGGAGGTAGAATAATTGATTTTTAATCGAGTTAAAAATAATCGATACTAAATAAATAAATATAAAATTCTTAAAGCGTGCGAGTGTTGCCTTGTAGGTCAAAGGACTACCTGTTAATTTGTATCTTCAAATGAAATCACTCATATTATATTGATCGAACTTCACTTGAGAAGTTCGTTTGATCATATATAATTCAATTGCAAAAAAGCAAATTTCGACAGTCTTCTATTATTTTTTTTATTTTTTTGGATTGGTCATGTCGAAAATTCTCAAGAATTCAGAAAATAAAACATAACTCATAAACTATGAAAAGTCGCGTAACATACATGGGGTGATTCGGATACCCGACCACCCTGTATATTTTTATCAAATAATCGTTCAGAAATCCAGTAAAGCGGTTTCTAACCTGGTTTCGACCTTTGAAATGAAAACATCGTGTAGAAATCTGTATATTCAACTCCAAGATGTCTAATTAGTTTTCTAAACACATACATTCTGCCGACCTGCATTTGGCCAGCGTGCGACTATAGCATATTTCAGTATTGATGAGAAAGAATTAATATGGACCCTACTTAATATATAATATGCACTAAGCATACCCTGCTTATTCTTAAAAAAAATGAGAATCGATTCACAATTTACGACGATATCGTTCAAAATAGACAAAAAATATAACTGCTGTTGCTAGTCCAAAAAATACTTACGGGGTCCACTATCTGAAACCGTCCCGGGAGAATACATAGCGATAGTTGGAGGAGAAACAACGTGTGTAGTCACAGGACTAGACGTCGATGACAGTAACTCTTTAAGTAGATCTTCAGCTTCATTCAAACCTGTTGTAGTCGTATTTTTTAATTCTAAAACTGAAATATTACTAGCAATAGTTTCTTTTGATATTATATTCGTTACATTGGTTACATCAGATATCGTTGTAACAACTTCTGTTAGATTCACTTTTGTAGTGGTTTCTACAAATGTTTGTTTAGTTGTTGTATTTACAACTTTTTTTATTGTAGTTAAAGTATCTTTTGTTACTGTTATGTTACTTTTAGCTGTAAAATTATCTTTTGGGAGCGTCGTATTTATAGTAGATAAAGTATCTCCTGTTATAGTAACGTCAGGTACAGTGCGGGAGACTGTTTCTGTAACAGTTGCTATTTTAGAAACGTCATGTGTGGAATTAGTTTGATTAAAATCAGGTAAGTAAAATGATGTGGTAGGCTCCCAATCTTCATAATTATAGTCTAATAGTCTTCTAAATTTTAAATAAACTGATTTGTGGGTGCTTTTATATGGATAGTATAAGCTTTTGCGCCCTAAACCTCCTGCAAAAGGAAGATGAAACTTAATTTTTCGAAAAAATGGGAAAAAAACAAAATATATATACCTATTGCTTCGCTAATAAAAATCGTAGCGATATTAGATAACTATTAATGACTAAAATATGTATGTATACTAATATTATAAAGAGGAAAGATTTGATTTTTGTTTGTTTGTTTGTAACGAATAGGCTTGAAACTACTGAACCGATTTAGATGAAATTTAGTAAGACGATAGTTTGTGACCCTGGGAAGGACATAGGATAGTTTTTATTCAGGAAGTCATCCCTTAAGGGGTTGAAAATGGGGATGAAAATTTGCATTGGAAATCAACCTAGGAACGAACCCGAGCGAAGCTAGGGTGAGTCGCTAGTTATCAATAAATAGAATATAAAATACAAAAAGATTATTTTAATCTGTCTGTTTGTTACAGAGTCAACGCCTTAAAAAAACTTAAGTATATAATATTGTTGTTATTTTTATTCATGATCATGAAAAAAAAAGTATCAGAGAAATAGAACCTGTTAAAATATAGTAAATATAAACTATCTATCAAAAAACAAGTAAAGAAAAATTCAATAAAAGATTCTTAATTTGAAATTCTTTTTGAAGTTTAATTATCTTTCCGTTACGAAACTCTCAGTAACGGCTTGGGAAGTTGGTGTTTCACCTCCGTGCATCTGAAAGCGCGTGTCGTGTCGATCCCGCGCCACTCGTGTCGAAGTCGTGTCGTCTTTGTTAGACTTTGAGAGGAAAAAGGATAAAGAGTGCATTTGTGTCTGCGGTGCACAATAGACTGCCGTTCTGGCATGATTGAGTAACAAACAAACATCTATCCAAACTTTCGCATTTATAATATTAATGGGATTTATTTTACCTTCAAATTCTAGAATGCTCTGTACTAAAAACAAAACAAATATGAAAACACGTAAACAAGTCATTAAAGGAAATGAAATTTCCAAACGCGACAAAACGTTTTATTTTTGCTTGTACCTATAAAATAGCTTTTACGATGCTATATAGTTTATTATATATGCGAAAATTATGTTTGTTTATTTGTATGGCTATTTCTCTTTAAAATAAACAGAGAGAAGTTACATAATAACATCTGCCTGATGTGATCTTTCCATACAAAAATTCTAAAATTCTTTATTCAATATTGGATATTTCAGAGATACACTTAATGTTGATAAAAACTCTACCAACAAAAAAAAAACTTGAAAAAATGCTTCAGTCCTGACAAACTATGACAACTGGGAAACTCAGCAGGGCTATGAACCTTTTTTAACTTTTAGAAAGTTTGTATGTGTGTATGTATGTTTGTTTGTTTGTTTTACCTTCACACTCAAACGGCTGGACAGATTTGGATGAAATTATCTACAGGCTACTTTTAGGCAACTAGAGTCGTATTCGAGCATAGCTAAGGTACATGACTAGTTTTAAAAAAGTATTACGTTGAAATATTACAGTATAAAATAATTTAACTCGGATAAAACTATGAGAAACCATTAGTTTAGTTTTAAAAATGTTACCATTCATCGTATTGCCTATTGCGTTATTTGGTACGATTTTTATATTCTTTTGTGATATTTTTATATATTAATAATGAGGTTTTATATAGCAGTAGTAGCTCAGTGGTAAGCTCGCTTGAGAAACCAAGTGGAGCAGGTTCAAACCCCGGATCTCGCACCTCTAATATTTTGATATGCAAATCATTTCCAATATGATTACCACTTGTCTTACGGTGAAGGAAAACATTGTGAGGAAACCTGCATGTCTTGGAGAACCTAGCAAGTTGTCTGCAGATATGCTCAGTCCGCCCGCACTTGTCTGGCGTGGTGGACTGTGGCCTGATCCCCCTCGTATTGAAGGGAGGCCCACCCCCAGCTGTGGGATGTAAAAAGGGCTGAGTACAATGAGATGTTGGAATAACTGTAAGGCGAAAAATATTTGTCTATGAGCCCACGCTATTAGAATCAATAGATACGTGTATGAAATAAAATGTAATAGAATAAATAGATAATATTCACAATTAGAAGATGTCTTACACAAAGTCATGGTAATGTCAATTGCAAGATTAAGTCATATAGGCCTCTATAGGTATAGCTGTTTTTCAATTCAATTCTCTTGTTAATGGCTTCAAAGCGTGCCAGTTGAGCACAGATTACTTCGCCAATGTTACGTAGAACGGAGACGACACGAAGGAGATTGGTCGGTAAAATAAGATCATTGAACTATATGAAATTATAATGTGTAAAAAAGGAAGTAAATCCTTAACAAACCTTAGACCTACAAAAAAAGTCAGCACAATTATATTATATAACCTAAATTAAAGTACTCACTGCAAATAATCTAAATAAGTATAACATTTGATTTACAGTGAATGTTGGAGCTGCTAGACCTCAGAGCGTTAATGTCGAATTACATACCGTGTTAGAATTTGATAAAACCAACGATATATATTTCCTTCAGAATGTCCGAAATATTCTAGATAAAATTAATGGTATATTATCAAGTGAACCTGAGAAGAAAGCTTTAAAAAGACATAAAGATCCGCCTACTTTTACAGACTTTCTTAAAAAGTCTCTTCAAATTGTAAAATCTTTGAGAGATAATGAATTAAGATACATTTTTAGAACTATACGTGATGAAATAGAATCTTTTGACGCTGAGAATTCATTTGAAGAAAATCTGAAAAGGTTTATAAATCATAAGCTAGATGACTTTGGCAGAGATCCCAAAAAAATGCGCAGTAATATAGACGAATTCTTAAAAAAAGCGCACACAGATAAAAGAAATAGAAAGCGTGATTACTCTCTTAATTTCACGAATAATGATTACAAAAATGATTATCATAGCAGCTTTTTAAATTATTTAAATAAAATAGATTTGTTCCGGAGAAGTTCGAAGCGATCTAACGATGAATTGAAGCGGATTGTTACAACTATCACCCGTGATATTTTAGATAAATATACCAGTTTAAGGAAAAATAAAAAACAAATGTTGCAATCTTGGCTTAAAGATAATGCATTGCTTAATGATGAAGCGGTAACTAAAAGAAATAAAATAACTAAAACTAATAAATACCAATTATTAAAAGAAAAAGATAAAGTAAGTTCCAGTGAAGAAGAAGAGAAAGAAGATGTAAATACTATAAAGTTAAAACAAAAGAAGAGAACTAACTCCTTTAAGAAGTTGACTCATATAACTCTATATCCAAGTAGTATTGAAGTGAGTCAAAGGAAACGCAAATTAAGATCAGGTTTTTCAGTTAAAAAAAGTAAAACATCAACGAAATCTACAGAAAGTCATCATATTTCTCTTTCTAATGAAGAGATAGAGAATGTCGATTTAAGTGATATATTTGCTAACCTCAGCTCCGAATCTGCGAAGAAAGATAGTATGGAATTGTTTGGAGATAACCCTAAAGTTGTTAATAAATCAGAATCCTTTAGGTACTTTTAAGATAATACAAATATAAATTATTTCTTAGATTTAAGCATTTATCCGTGATTTTGATTGAAATTATTTTTTCGGCTTATTTTGCGGTTTTAGCAGCAAACATGGTCATGAACACAGATGGTGTATTCTGTGTCAATTTTGTTTTCTTCATAATTATTGTATAATTTTGTTGAAAAAAAAAAACCGCCAAAAACTCCGAATACATAGTACGTATATTTTGTTATAAAAATGGCTCTCGAGTCATCTAATATAGGGTAGTTTTTTTTTAATCAAACAGATACTCTGTAACAAACTACATTTAAGTTGTTTTCACATTTAAATATATTTTTACAGAAATAAAATAAATCACAAAACGAAATCAGGAATTTCTGACATAATTTCAAGAAAAAGAACAACAAAGATGGAAAGCTCTGTAGAATCTTTTGAATACTTCGGAAGTTTGTACAGCGTGAATAAAACAAAAACATCTGGAAAAATCCCTACCAATCTAATGAAGAGTACAACTAATGATATTATTAATAGAATAGAAAATAAAGCTTCAACAACAGCTATTAACACAGTGGATAAACTATCCAATGGCAGAATATCTACAAATAGTATGTACCTGCACCGGCGGGCATATTTACCTTTTAGAAATACTAATAAAGCGACTGTTAAATTAATAAAATCATTACAAAATACCAAAAATAACGTTAATAATAAAACAAATACACATTTTACTACAACAAAGAAAGAAAAAGAAGATTTTAACAAATCTGCTAACTTCAAAGCAATCTCAGAAGTTTCGTCTCAAAAGGCACTTGAAACAAGTGCTTCGAACAATTCTACAGCTAAATATTCTACAACTGAATTTGATGTGAATAAATTTATTAAAAACTCACAGATAAAGAATTTAGTAAATACTGAGAGGCAAAAAGAGATAGACAAGAAAATGAAAGAAGATTTAACATTTCTCCTCTCAACAACAACAAATGCCACCACTGAAGCGTATAATGATGTTTTTAAGGATTTAGAGGACGCGTTTAATTTAAGTTAAAAATATGTTATAAAACTTAAATAAAATTTTGATTGTTTATTTGTGGTTTTTGGTATATTTACATCTTCAGTTAGGGATATTTAAATAATATTAACTGAATAAATTAAATTGCCAAAACCAAATAGAACTGACAATGTAAACTGCGTTCTAAAAAAAGGAAAAACTTTGAGGTAGGAACATAATATTGTCAAAATCTGTACAGTAGTTCCTGAGATTATTCATGATATAGATATATAAAGTATTTTATTTTATATTATCTTCAGGTGATGTGCATGTTAGGCTGTTACTATTACGAAAACGAAATGTAGCGCCCATGTTGTTAATTTTATCTATATACCTTCTTAAAACGCGAAAATTTCCTTTTTAGGTAAATAAAGAATAATAAATATTTTTCTTTTCTCGTATTTATGAGACATCAAAAACTTCAATCTTTCCCGTGATCATATTTACTATAAAACATTTTTAGATACAAACGTTAGAGTGAAACGTCACGAACGAATAACTAAAATAAACCCTTGAAAAACACGAAAATATAGTTTTATTTAGTTTCAGCAATTTAAAATGGATCAAAAACAAAACCTAATATTTGAAATATATGATATCGGCGCCGTGGCTTAGTTGGTTAAAGCGCCTGTCTAGTAAACAGGAGATCGTGAGTTCGAATCTCGCCGGGGCCTGAAGCTATAAACTTAGCTATTATTTTTTTACCTACCTAAATATGTTTTAAAATGCATGTTATTTGAACCGTAATGGGTATCCATGCCAACGTGACTGTGTGATGGGGAAGGCCCAAGGAAACGTAACGTTTGAGGTTTTATATTTTATTTTTACAACTTTTTTTAATTTCTTGGTAAAAATGAAAATATTGAATGTTTTTTTTATATTTTGTTTCATTTGCAAGTAAAATTTTGAAATGATTAAAAAAGTTAACGAGCAGAAAATCATTTTTAAATTTTGTCTTGTAATATATTAAATACGATCAACCGTTACTGAAGTAGAGTGGAAAGCGCTATTTTATGTAGGTAAGTAATTTATGTAAAAAAATATGGAATTATTTATTTACGTGGAATTATATATTAATATTTTTGTACTGGCCCTTTTTACAGTAGGCCGACTTCAATAAAGAGGTGCACGTAGATATTCAATAATAGTGTGTAATGTGTATGTTACACATGTTAAAATAAAGCTTTCTTTAATTAATATATGTAGGGACCACTCAAATAATTAAAATAAATGAAATTCAACCCGCAATCGTAGAATAATAGCGTAATAATAATACCTTACGCTTTCAGTAGTTCTTATGTTTTTTTTTACGTTGTTAATAAAATCGAAATAAATAGCATATTATAACTGGCAACATTACCTGTGTTAAATTTAATTATTTTAAAATTTAAATGTAGCAACCCTGACCTAGTGATATTGTTTTTGACACGCCTACGTGATTGTTCACCTGTTTTTGCTGTTTTTCTCGTATTATTTGCGATATTTTCTAACAACTTGTGTGAATTTAAGTGTATAATAGTGTAATTTGTTTAGTGCATTATTGTTTAAGTGTAATTATATAGAGAAATCTCCAAAACTCAAGGTAAATTCATAAGCTTTAGATGTCAATATTTTATTCAACCAAATTAAGAATGACAGCTTATTGAAAGGATTTGTATGGAAATTGTTAGTTTATGAGTTAGTCGTGTTATATTTTTTTCGTTGCGATTGTTTATTTGTGCAAAACTAAACGTTTTTGGGCACGAAAACAATTAAAAACCACCATTTTGGTAAAAAATACCATCTTTTAATCTAACTATGGGGTCCCCATCGTTCTATTGATTCATGGAATGACTCATAAGTACTTTCACAAAGCTATCGTAGCAAGGTATAAGATATTTTGTCATTGCTACCAAATCATTGTAAATATTGTAGATTGTCTGGCTGTTTCGATTTATTATTGAAATAATAAAAATACAGCAATGAATACAATGACTTAATACAAAATAACCTATCCATCTGTGATTCTCCTTACTAGCAATATATAAGGGAAACCATAGCTAAATATGTATATGGAAAAAATAATATTAAAAACTCTCAAAAACATATTCTTGGTTTGGTTTGCCAAATTATTAATGTCACAAATCACTCAGATTCAATATGTAATGAGATCTAGTGATGTTTTTTCTCTTTTTTACCAGTTATTCTTAATATAACATGTTTTCTCCATTGTATGTGACATTGGAGAAGTAAATTATGCCCAATTGGTACTCCTGGAAGCCACTAAAGCAAAGAATTGAATTGTAATAATGTTCTTCTATGCTATTGATGCACAAGAGATATTATAGTGCAAACACAACATGCACTTTATTCCTTTTACTCTCAAAGTACGAAGGGATGATAGTTCAGTCGAGCACAAATTATTTTAACAATGTCACATTGAATGGAGGTGTCACGTTGAATGGAAGAGTCACGTTCGAGATTCGCCCTGATTAAAGACTGGATTAACAGTATTAAATAGAAGGATTTTAAAGTTCACCTAAAAATAGAAAAAACTACATAAAAAATTAAATAAATATAACATGTTAGTAGTTCAACTTAGAGAGGTATAATTCTAAAGTTTAATTTTATTAAATTTAACATATTTACACAAGAATCTACATAGGGGACTAAACACAACCATCAACAAACATTGAAAATTAAGAGGACAGGGTACTTTGAAAGGAAGTTTGACACAACTAATGAGAGGTGCTCAATGCTCTCATATATAGATGGATACATATTATAGCATAATATTCAATAGTGAAACAATATAAATATAAACTTTAAATGGCTAGAGGACTATAAAAAATTATTATTGATTTGGAAATGCAGTTTAAGTTGCTAAAAGTGATACGAGTGTTGCTATTTACATATTATAATGTGTATGACATATAAGTTGATGGGTGGGGTGCTGTCTTCTTGTCTGTAAAGAAATTATTTATTGTTTCCTTCATTCTGTTATACAAAGGTATACATAAATGATTTGTTTTTAAAAACAAATTATATGTAAACACAAGTATTTGGCATATCTTTTATATCAACTATAATTTTCTTATTATTTATATTTCTTCAGCTATGGCAACCATGACGGATCCCTATGGTACCACCGGCCAGTTGACCCTCAAGTGGGACCCCAAGAACTTAGAAATCAGGACCATGTCAGTAGAGAGGACACTGGAGCCCTTGGTCCTCCAAGTGACTACCCTTGTGAATAGCAAGGATAAAGCAGCTAAGAAGAAGAGACGTATGTAGTTTAAATTTATTATGATAGAATTTATGACTACACGTTTGGCTCAATTTGTAGTAACCATACTCACAGTGCCAACGGTCGCGTGTTTCAGTCCCACTGGGGAAATAAATGTCTCAACATTTATTTATTTATAACATAGTTTATTATTTGCAGCGGGCAAATCTAAAAGGGCCAGTGCCCTAGTGGCTACAGTGGAGAGGGCTACCGAGATATTCATTGAGCGAGGACAGACCATTGCTTATGAGAATCCGGAGATAACCCAGGAGATGCTGGCAGCTGTGGAGGAGGTTAGGAAGGCAGGTGAGTTGTTGCAGTATAATTATTATATTATATAGACAATTTTTTTAAGTTACCAGCGACTCACCCTCCCTGCACTCGAGTTCGTCCGTAGTGAAAATTTAGGTTGTATGTATTTTTTAATGCCGAATCATAAAAAAATAAAATAATTTTTTTTATCAAAATATTTAGTCTGGTCTTTCTATATATACAACAATTTTTATTATATCAAACTATACAGATAAATAAAATTGAAATGTCTGTTTGTTATGTCAAAATAACAGCTTTTTACTAAATGCATATGGAATAATATACGTTATTTATAAGGAAAACACAATTTTTAAAATTTTTGTCTCTCTATTCTGGCTAATTTCCGAAACGACTGGGCCGATTTTAACGGCGCTTTCACTGGCAGGTAGTTGATGTTATAAGGAGTAACATAGGCTACTTTTATTTCAGTAAAAGAATTAGAGTTCCGCGCAAAAAAAAAAGTACCTAGGGACGAACTCGAGTGAAGCGAGGGTGAGTCGCTAGTAAAAAATATTTTTACAATTTTCAATTAGTATGTGTGTATGTTTGTTACTCTTTTATGATGTAATAGCTTGACAGATTTGCATGAGATTTGTGTAGTCGACTTTTAAAGTAGATTACGTCATTTGTTTACTTAAGTGAATTGGCCTTCGAAGTGAACTGACCAGATGCAGTAATGGGCTAAAGACTTATATATATATTTTTAATTAAATCCGGGCAGGTGCAGCCATGAGCCTGGCGGCCCGGGAGTTCTCGGAGGAGCCGTGCGCGTCGTCGGTGCGCTCGAGCATGGTGCGCGCGGCGCGCAGCCTGCTGTCCGCCGTCACGCGGCTGCTCATCCTGGCGGACATGGTGGATGTTCACCTGCTGCTGTCCAACTTGAGGACTGTGAGTGTTGACGATTATTGTATATGTGTAGACATTTTTGAAGTAAAACTTCTTTACGCACGCTTGACTTAGGGGGTGAGCTGGTGAATGCGTTACGAAAAAGTGTACGTACGTTTGTTCCCATGGTAACCGTTGTTATTGTCTGACAAATGTTAAATAGTAATATTATATGCTTTTCTTAAATGATATTCTATAAATATAAAATATATGATTGTAATATTCCTAATATGCGTTATTTTTAGTATCTTACGAATCCTAATTATTTAAAACATAAATTGAATTATTAATTAAATAGTACCGATAAACTTCAAAAGTTTTACTTCTTGGGCGTGTACAGATTCATATACATAAAAAAAATCCGGTTTAATTCTTTTCTTTGGTTGGTTGGTTTAGTTCTTTGCTTTCATGAATGTGAAAGACTGATCGCAAGATGATGAAAATAAATATGATGTGTTCATTTCTAGCTACATAGTGGATAGGTTGATTTTACAGAATTATGCATTTTAAGCATCAATCAGAAAAGTACCAGATACACAATCAGCGACATAAAATGTCCTCACCGAATCAGCGCTCATTTGAACATTTGAGTGCGCTTTTAATTTTTTTTTTGTGAAAACAACTCTAAGCATTGCATTTAGGGTTCAATTTACATTGTTGTATATTTATTTAAACTAGAATAATTGGTTAAAGTTTCAAGAGAACTTTTGCATGGCATTGTGTATCTAGTACTTTTTTGATCGATAATTTTAAGATAATAAAAATCAATACTGTTTCTTTTAAGGCGATAAGGGAAATTAAAATAAAGGTTTCGAAAACATTTATACCAAAATTAATACTAATATGATAAATGCGAAAGTAACTCTGTCTGTTACTTTTTCATGCCTGAACCATAAAAAAAGAACTTATGATATTTTGTCGCAAAAATGAAAAATGAAAGTGGTGAAATAGGGGTCTATAATTTGTATTGGGAACAAATCATTTAGCCAATAAAGGACAAAAAAATAATTATATCCTATAATTTTGATTAATTTATTCTTAAACCCCCCTTCTCCCCTCCTTCCAGGTTGAAAACGACCTAGACAAGCTCAAGTCTGCCTCGTCCCAGTCCGAGCTCCTGGAGTCTGCCCGTCAGTTCGGACGCTCCGCCAACGAGCTGGCGGCGCAGGCGGCACGGAGGCAGAAGGAGCTGAAGGAGCCCAGGATGAAGGATGAGCTGGCTGCGGCCAGGGCTGTGCTGAAGAAGCATTCCACTATGCTGTTGACTGCATCCAAGGTCAGCAGTTCTCTTGGAATCTCTTAGTACTAGCCAGGAGATAGGAGCTGAAAGGGAATGCTCATGAGCGCTAAGCCAAGATATATATAGGAAGGTGGTACACTTCGATGGGCAGTGTGTCAGACGGGGTGCTCCTGGTACTTCTCTGATGGCAGAGAGGACAGTGGTAGCAACTCCGGAGTTGTATTGTGTGCTTCAGTTGTCGGGGCATCGTGGTTGAGTGCGTAAGCAACCAGTTAAGACGGAGGAGGTTCTGTCGGGTTTTAGTGGGTAGTACTGGTTTCTCTAACCTGTGAGTCCCGCAGAATGTGTGATGTTATGTCTTAATCTACCAATCTGTATATTAAGACGTACTGATACACGTACAAACAGTGCATATATAACAGTACTAATATATGTGACCAGGTGTACGTCCGTCACCCGGAGCTGGCGGCCGCGAAGGCCAACCGGGACTTCGTCCTGCGCGCCGTGTGCTCCGCCGTCGACACCATCTCCGCCGTGGCGCAGGGCCGCCCGCTGCCGCCCAATTCCGGTGAGGGGACACAAGTTTTGGGGGTTCCATGTCCTATATAGATTCTGGGGTTGTGTCGGAGTTGTGGAAGATGCTTTTTATTGATACAGATATTTCCAAATATATATATATATATATATATATATATATATATATATATATATATATATATATATATATATATTTATTTCCAGGTACAAACAGAGTGCCGGTAGAGGGTCCTGGAGAATTGGCTCAGGCCTTGGATGATTTTGATGTAAGTTTTTTTTTATTTACTTGAATGGCATAAATTTATTATTATTTTGACAACATATTTGGCACACTTAGTAGTAAGACTACTTACTGTGCCAGCGGTCGCGGCTTCAAGTTCCGCTGGGGGCATTCATTTGTGTACTGAGCATGGATGATTGTACTCCAGTCATGGATGTTTATTTATATCTTTATATATATAATTCTTCTGTGAGTGTGTATGTCACTGAACTTCTCTCAAACGACTGGACCGATTTTGATGAAATTTTTTGTGTGTGTTCAAGGGGATCTGGGAATGGTTTAGATTCACAATTTGAATAATAATTTTCATCAAAAAAATTATTAAAAAAAGTTTGATATTTTCAAATTAAAGACGTGTAGACAGGACAACGTCTGTCGGGTCCGCTACTTTTTATGTATATAAAGTTATATATGTGTAGCATATCAACAATCTGGTATTCATAACACAAGCCTCGTAGCTTACCATGCAACTAGATGGGGCTGCGTGTTAATGTACCAACACCAACATATTTATTTATTATTTGCATAAATTTTTTACTGATTTCATAAAAGATATTTTTTTTAAATAGTCCATACTTATATTATAACATCACAGACTCACAAATTTTGCCTCTTTATAATATTAGTATAGAAAGAGGTCCTCGGACTTTTTTTTCTTATAGATCACTTTGAAAATTTAGAATTTTTTGATTCCTGTGGACCCCCAGCAACTACATTTCTACCATATTCCCAAAACTCGACAAAAAAATATAAAGATTCAGTCCCCCGTAGGCCCCCGTCGAGTCATCCGTGGACCACTTTGAGAAGTAATAGCATAAATGTATGTATGTCGTTGGCCACACGTGTGTCTGCAGGAGCGCATGGTGATGGAGCCGCTGGCGTACTCGGAGCTGCGCACGCGGCCGTCGCTGGAGGAGCGCCTCGAGAGCATCATCTCGGGCGCCGCGCTCATGGCCGACAGCTCCTGCACCAGGTGAGCACGTGGGTTCGACTCCCGGGTCGGACCATGTTTGATTACTGACATTTTCTGTTAAGATATTTGTGTGATCCGCGTTACGCGAATTATTAGGAACAGCCCGGAATTGGGAAAGTGGGTAATGTTTCACCGTCGTGATCTTTCAATTTTACCGAAAATGTCAAAGTATCGTCCCACCAAAGTGTGAGAGTGAAAGAGAGATATATACACAACATGCACTCTCTCCCTCGCACACTGCACTTATAGTATCTCCCGCAGTCGGTTAGTTCCTTATAATTTTAAATAAACACTTCTTGTATATACATATCACTATCACTACATAGTGTTAAAGTCGCTTCCCGCTGTCTGTTCGTCCCTATGTATGCTTACATCTTTAAAACCGCAACGGATTTTGATGCGGTTTTTTTAATAGATAGAATGATTTAAGAGGAAGGTTTATATGTATAATACATGCATATTGTAGTACAGAAAAGCCGAGAATTTCGAAGATTTGTATTTCATACTAACCGTCAAAACATACCTAGGGATGAACCCGAGCTAAGCGAGGGTGAGTCGCTAGTATATATATAAAATCATTATTTATTTCATGTATCTCGGAAACGGCTCTAACGATTTGGATCAAATTTTGTATCTAGATAAGGTTTTGTTATATAAGTTTATCTATATAGATGTATTTTCTGAAAAAAAAACTGCAATTTTTATATCTTTTATCTGCTTGTTTGTATGCTTCTGTGTGTATGTATATTGTAACTTTATATATATGATGATATGCCACTTGCATTTTTAGTCGTTATTAATTTTTTCTCTATACATATATTGTTAAATAAGTTTAACAAAATACCATTATTTATTACTGCTAACGCCATCTAATGTCCTTTATTGTAAACACTTAACTTATAATGAACGATTGTATGGAACAACTCGATGATGACTATATATATATATATATATATATATATATATATATATATATTATATTTATTGTATTTGAAATAAATCAGTTCAGTTGATTACAAACTCTCATAGCATTTTTAATATATATATATAATTTATATGTATAGAGTTTTTATATGTAATCGTTGTCATAAGTAGTTGTCATTAGGAGTTTTATTATATATATTGGTATTTTTTTATTTTGCACTGTTTTTTACTATTTGATTGTTTTTATTTGGGTTTGGGGTGATAAAAGCAGAATGCCTTTTTTATTATCATATCGAGCCTGTAAGTGTAGTGTACAATGTATTTTTTTTTACAATTTTTAAAATTTTTGTGGTTTTAATTATATGTCACATTGTATGTTGTGTTGGCTTGCCTAATAAATAAATAAATAAACTTGTTTTCCCCAGGGACGAGCGACGCGAGCGCATAGTGGCGGAGTGTAACGCCGTGCGGCAAGCGCTGCAAGATTTGCTGCACGAGTATATGAGCAATGTATGGCCTTTTTTATATTTCAAATATAATATTATAAAGAGGAAAGATTTGTTTTTTGGTTTGTTTGTTTTTACTGAATATTCTTTGAAACCACTGAACCGATATAGATGAAATTTTGTAAGAAGATAGTTTGAGACCCTGAGAACGACGTAGGATAGTTTTATCCCGAAAATCATACATTAAGAGGGTGAAAGTAGGGGTGAAAGTTTGTATGGGGACAAAACCGAGGGACGAACCCGAGCGAAACGAGGGTAAGTCGCTAGTTTTGAATAAAACAATTATTCCGATTTATTCGCGGATTTATATTGATTTTTGGTTCCTGACGTTTTGAATGTTTTAAATATTAATGTAACTATGTAATGCACCTTGAGACGTCTAAACTTTTAGTCTCTCCCGCGACCATGGTTGCTATTAAGCATTCGAAACGTCGGTAACCAAAAAATCTAAATATCTCCGCGGAAGATTAGTTTTATTTGAAAATTTTCAAATATTCGCATAAATAGTGCTCTCTTAGAATTGCGCGGATTAGACTTGATAATTTGGTGGGTTTATTTAGAGTTAAAATGAGTTAGATCGAACCCGGTGTGTTGCGCAGGCGGGGCGCGCGGAGCAGTCCGAGGCGCTGGAGCGCGCGCTGGAGCAGATGTGCCGCAAGACGCGCGACCTGCGCCGCCAGCTGCGCAAGGCCGTCGTGGACCACGTCTCCGACAGGTCCTTCTTCATCTATTTATACTATCTATACGTCTTTCTATCGTTTTATACTATTTTCTACCATTGTACAATTTTTCTACCATATTTAATAATTTTCTACCATTTTTTTTTATTTCTACTATGCTTAGAATTTATTTATTTATGATCCATACATAACACAATACCATACAAGAATCAAACCTGTGATCTTAAACGAAATTAAAAGAGAATATTCATACAAATCTAATACAATTAAAAAAAAAAAAAAAATTTCTTTAATTTGACAGTTTCCTGGAGACAAACGTTCCTCTGCTGGTTCTTCTAGAAGCAGCTCGCAGTGGCAATGAGAAGGAAGTAGAAGAATATGCTGTGGTGTTCACTGAACATGCAAACAAACTTGTTGAGGTGAGTTATTTTTGAATTCATTAATTAAATTACAATTTATGTATATATCGCCAGAATCGCAGAAGTGGAATGTTTTCTTTTTAAATTAACTTTAACCTCCTTGATACCTTTTTAGCTTACGATTTTTTGAATTTTTTGAAGTTTTCTTAGATTTACGAGAAATTTTGACATTTTAAATATAAAACTATATTTTCGGATTATTACGCGGATTTATTTTGATTTTTGGTTCCCGACGTTTCGAAGTGACGGGAGAGACTGCTGTAAAGCATTCGAAACGTCGGGAACCAAAAATCAAAATAAATTCTGGAAATAATCCGAAAAGATAGTTTTATTTAAAATATTTATAAGGTTATAAGTAGTAATTAGGGGTTATTAGGAACCAGCAAAAATAAACATATGTGTTGCTCTGAAATACAAAGATTTATTTTAAGCGTAAGTTTACAACAACAATCTGTATTTACACTATAAATTACCATGACTGACCAGGTGTTTTTTTATCTCCATTTTATTTAGGGACTTTATCTGAAATATATTATATATTATATTTACATTCTCGCTCAGGTAGCAAACCTCGTGTGCTCGATGTCCAACAACGAGGACGGCGTGAAGATGGTGCGTCACGCCGCGGGGCAGATCGAGGCTTTGTGTCCTCAGGTTGGTTACTGGCTTTAAATATAAACATATACATACACACACGCACACACACTCACATGCACGCATTGACGCACATGCACACGCACGTACACATACGCACATGCACGCTGACGCACAAGCACACATACGAGCAAGCATACACACTCACACACGGTTAGACTCTAGAGGCTAGTGCTTACGCAGTAGATCGAAAAGTCCCGGGTTCGATTCCTAGTATTAGGATAGTCCACTTATCCATTCGAACGTCTAACGATTCGGCGTCTAGATATAGCATCAAATGAGCCGCTCGAGATGAAACCGGACTGTCATACTTACTTTTATATGACAACTGGAAATTTACTTGTCCGCGCATATCTCCGTAACTACTCATCCGATTTCGATGCGACTTCCACCACGCGACAGATGTGTATGAGATGTGTACGTGTGTATGTCCGTCCGCCCGCAGGTGATCAACGCGGCGCGCGTGCTGGCGGCGCGCGTGCGCTCGCGCGTGGCGCAGGAGAACGCGTCGGCCTTCGCGCGCGCCTGGGAGGCCGCCGTGCGCCTGCTCACCGACGCCGTCGACGACATCACCACCATCGACGACTTCCTCGCCGTCAGCGGTCAGTGCCCCTCCTTGCCCGCCTCCGTCACGGAGCGGAACATTCACCGAATATTTCGTAGATGTCAATGGATAATTATTATATTACAATATTGTACACGATTATTATTTTAAAAGAGCGACTGTTGAATTTCTCGCCGGCTCTAACGAACTGACTACACTGACATTTAATTTAAATTTATAATGTAAAACTGACTAAATTAAATGTCAGTATGTAAGTCCGCGAGGAATCTACCACCGGCTCGGATTGCAGGTCTGATGGGAAGGACCGGTCTAAGAAGTACCATCATCATGATAGTAGCAAGAACGCGGCCCGCGCTCGTTCTAAGGAGGTGTTCTAAAACGGCATCACCATCGACAACTTTCTCAGTATTAAAAATGCTAAAATTGCAATTATGAAACGTTTTCTTTCCCACAGAGAACCATATCCTAGAAGACGTGAACAAGTGCGTGGTGGCTCTGCAGGAGGGAGATCCTGACTCCCTGGAGAGGACTGCTGGTGCCATAAGGGGCAGAGCTTCCAGGTAAAATATTATAAAGCGACGTACCCTAGCTTCGCTTGGGTGCGTCCGTACGTACCTAAAAATTACTCCAGCTCATAGTCTGTGAACTAAATCTGCAGCCGTTTTTGAGTGAAGGAATAAGAATTGAAACAAAATTTCACTTTTATAGAAGACTAGCGACTCTTTTTTGGTTCGCTCGGGTTCGTCCCTACTCTATAAGTGGGTACGTTGTAACGGTTAGTATGGAATAGATAGACTATATAATGTATATATTAGTATATACATAGGTGTGATGAGTTTTATATTCCTTACTTGAGAAATGATTGATTCTTCATACAAAATTTCATCCCCCTTTTCGCTCCTTTAAGGGATGATTTCCGGGATAAAAATTATCCTATGTCCTTTCTCACAATCTCAAACTGTCCTGACACCAAATATCATCTAAATGGGTTCGCCGGATTTGTAGTTTATCCATTACAAACAAGCATACGAAAAATATATTTTTTTTCTCTTTATTATGTGTATATTAATTTTATTATTATATGTCATATCCGACTCGCACTTGACTAATACACGTGACGATTATACAGGGTGTGCTCGGTTGTGACTCAAGAGATGGACAACTACGAGCCCTGTATATACACCAAGCGGGTCCTGGAGGCTGTGACAGTGTTACGAGATCAGGGTGAGTGTTTCTTATTGTTTCTGTTGTTTTGTTTTTGAAGTTATACTCTTTGGGCACGTTTGGAAAAAATTATGACAGTAAAATTTTTACAATGCGCGCGCACACCGACAACCAAAAAGCGACATGATGAAGTTAGCCGCGTTCCTTTTACAAACAGAAAGTTGTGACATACGGGATGAAATCTTTAGCTATTTTTGTTCTGTTACACCAAAGAAGTATAACTTCTTACATGCGTACATAAGTACATACACACGTTTTTTTTTTGAGTATGAAAAATGTTGCGAAAAAAGCTTAAGAAAACTATGGGATCCCATACACTCGAAGGTGTTAGCCATTGAAGATCCACTACCACCTGACTCCATCAGCAGATCAGAGAGGTTGCACTGAATTATTTTTATTGTCATCCGGATTTGACATATGTTTTCTTAAAATGATTTTAACTTTTAAGTTATTAATTTCTTTGATATTTCATCGATCAAAAAGAAACTGTATACACAATCAGCGACAAAAAATGTCCTCATCGAATGAGCGCTCATTTGAACATTTGAGCGCGCTTGTATTTTTTTTTTGTGAAAACAACTTTAAGCATTACATTTAAGGTTCAATTTACATTGTTGTATATTTTCTTCAATTAGAACAATTACCTAAACACAATTGGTGACAGACAGTTTAAGAGAACTTTTGCATGGGATTGTGTATCTAGTAGTTTTTTAATCGATGTGATATTTAAGCAAAATAAACTGCAAAGTCATAATCGAAGGATTAAATTAAAAAAAAACTTTAACAAAAGTAGGATAGTAAAAAAAATAACATTTGTAATTTCTTAAATTATTGTTTATTTCGTCATCACAAGGTACAAAAATGGCAGTTGATTTCATAGAAATCACTAATTAAAAAATATCTTTTAATTCCTAACTTCTAGTCGTTTTACAAGTATGAGTATTTTTAATCGATATGACGGATGAGGAAAAAGTTTTTTTTTGTATGTCATACAAATGACCAATATATTAATGTATTTTTCATACATAAATGTATTGTCCATACATTTTTTCCTATGATATCTGTCATATCGTTATATAGGGGTGTCTTTTTCTTAGTTTTCTTTTGGTGGATGAGTCCTGATGTAATCGAGTGCTCGGAGGATAGCTTCTGGGACAGGATGGGGAGTGGGAATATGAGCACCCTGAAACAAATAATTATATTTTTAAGTAAAATGTTGATGATGTTCCCTCCTAGCCGATTACGGCTATGGCGGCCAATCTCATTGAGACTAGCCAACTGCGCAGGAGATATTATAGTGCACAAGTGTACGCGCAGACACAACGTGCACTCTCTATTCCTGTCACTCTCATACTCCGGTGGGACGACCACTCGAATAGACCAGTGAGAGTTAAGGCGCAGGACCGACGGCTTTACGTGCTCTCCAAGGCACGGGGGTGAAACACCGCCAACTTCCCAACTCCGGGCTGTTACGAGACTTCCTATACAGAAAGACTCAATAACTAAACTTGGCCCGACCCGAGACTCGAACCCAGGACCTCCGGGTGTGCAGCCGTACATGCTAGCCACTACACCACCGAGGCAGTGAAGTAAAATGTTACATACACTATAAATAATGATTATTACCACAAGTAATAAATATTATTTATGGTATTAATAATTACTTTGGTAATCAAAATTACTCTTGTTGGTTACATTTTTGAAACTCTTATATGCTCATTATCGAGGTATTGGTAGCAAAAAAGATAACAAAAATATTAGTTTGTAATGAAATAAAAAACCGAGTGTGCAATTTGTTATTTTCTTCAATGTCTGTAGATAGTAAAGGGTTAGGGATATTATTTGATAGAATATAACTTGTTTTAATATCACGAATCTAATCGATTCGATATCGATTGGATAACGGTTGTTATTTAATAGCAATCATAAAAAAATTAGAAACTAGCGATCTGGTAATATTTCAATGGTTTAAACTACCATTTTAAAAAAAATATGCAAAAATTTAAAAATATATTCTGTTAGAAAAAATTATTTTCTATAGTTTTCAAGAAATCTGCTTCTTTTAAGATAAGATTAACAGACAGATGTAAAAGGGATAGAATTTTGTGACATGCCAACATTCCGCCTGTTTTATTTTTTTCTAAATTTGCGGCGCATTATGAAATTAGTGTATTTCAATACAAAATACTTAAATAAATATAAAATTATCAGCGACATAATGATCTTAAAATCATGTTACTGAGATATTTGAAAGTTTTTCAAATATTTGATGTTCGTTCATGCCTGTTTCAACCCGTATTTTGAAACAAAATTAAAATGGTGGCGGTTTGCTAATGTCAACTTCCAAAGAAAAATGTTCAATTCCCTTTATTAATAATCCAAAAAAATAATAATTTAGCTCTTTTAACATCCCACTGCTGGGGGTGGGCCTATCCAAAAGTAGAGGTTACAGATTTAATGTAAAGTCTTTACCTCAGCACGGTAACCGTTTTCGTCAGCTGTGTATTGGAACTCGATGACTTCACCATTTGGGGCGGTCCATCTTGCTTGACCTTGAGCTACTTGAGATGGTGTTTCAGCCTGGACATAAAAAATATTTTTTGTTTTAAACTAAAAACGAATATAAGACTTAAAAAATAATTTATTGGGCCTTTAGGAGTCTTGGTATAACCAATCCAATAAATAAATAAATAAGAAGCCTTGAAAATGAGTTATAAATTATTGGTGAAGATATCGCGTAACAAACAGACAACAAACATACATCCTCCCTTTTTTGGAAAGGTCCGTTTAAAAATATATTTTATTGCGTTCTATATGACGTGCGTTGACTTACTAAACTTTTCTTATTAAACTTTCGCTATCTTTCTCTACTGCAAGAGATAAGCTCAAAGTTTGAGAATTTTTAAGAATAAAAGGGAGTGTTTTTATAAATTCTTCCCATCACTTCTTCTCAAATAAATAAAATTAACATATTATTATGCCATATTATAATGCCATAAAAACGGTAGAAAGTAATACGATTATTAACGGTAACAAACAAACAACGTAAAATCTTTCTTATGGCAAAAGCTAGTATCTCAGCTGATGCTTCTAAGATCGAAATCTCACTAAGATGGACCGGGATCAAAGCAAAAGAACAATTTAAGTTAAACAAAATACGTAAAAAAATATTTTGATAAACTCTAAACATACTTACACCAGGCACATTCTTAAGAGCTCCCTGTTCATTGGCAGAGATACCGTTCTCGGTGTCATAGGACCACTGATATTGACCCTCGTGTCCAATATCCAACTCCTGCTTCAGGATCTTGGCTTGCGCCTCACCAGACTTGCCCACGATGTGGGACACGTCCGCTGCAGCGTAGGCCACTAAGATTGTGATGATGAGGAGTTTCTGGGAAGATGAAATAATTGTAATTAATTGGGCATGGGTCTTAGGTTTTGGATAATTGGGGTTTTTTCTAAGATTTACCCGAATATGTGACATTTTAAGTGAATCGATCGATTGCCTATTTATTAAAGAAGGTATAGGCTATCTAAGATGACATTACAAACATTAAAAGTGGAAAAATTATCAGAAGATTTACTAAATACATGTCGATCAAATAAAATACAGCAGGATTCGAACTCCTGTACCTCGTTAACTAAAAAAAACCATCTGCATCCATCGAACTCTGACCGTTATTACCTAACATCCATCAATTACACAACTTGACCTTCTCTGCTGGCAGACAAGATTTACGAAATGTATGAACTTTGTACGGCGCCTACTATAAGCGGGAGCGATTTGATACTAGAAGCTTGTAAGTATGAATGACGTTGATTGACGTTTGAATGAAATATAATGTTTTAAAGTAAAACCTGAAAAAATCTGTAAAATCGCTGAAAATATTTTTCAGCGATTTTATTTTGATTTTGATGGGAAATAAAATATTTAAATAAAACAGGGAAACAAAATACAGAATAACTTGATTTATTTAAAATGTAATTGAATAATTGGGATAGCTGCTTTGAATATTGTTTTTATAATGTGCAATGCACTCGAGCAAAGCCGCGGGCTAAAACTAATAAGGTAAATCGAATACTGATATTGTAAATTCCAAAATATCCATATAAATAACTTATAATTTTATTTACAAATAGTAAAATAATGTTTTAAGTTGAAGAAATTTTAGAATCTTTAAAATACTTTAAAATAACCATGAACAAAACTAATACATACGTAAGTATAATACTTTCTTAGAAATACACGAATATTTGACATTTTAAACAAAACTATCTGGCTCTCCCGAGACCATGATTGCTGTAAAGCATTGGAAACGTCGGGAACCAAAAATCAAAATAAATTCGCGAAAAAAAATAAAAAAAATTGTTTTATTTATAGTATTTATAAATTATTATAATTATGTTATCTATATTCTTTATAAATACTATTAAAGAAATATATATATTGATTTAAAGGATATAAAAATCGCTTGTCGCTTATGAATTGACGTTGATTTAAAGTTAAATGTCAAAGATGGCATTCGACCTTCGGTTAATGGCGCAGTTAAGAACGTAATGATAAATATTTAATAATATGTATGTTTGTATGTTTGTTTCAAATATTGTATGTATGTGTATTTTTAAGATTACGTCAATATTGGTCGGAAAATTGATGGGTGGCCAATTTGAATACACAACATTTTTAATGATTATTAATGTGATGTACAATTTTACGAGCAAAATTATGGATAAACATGCCGTTTTTATAATAATAATGTTGTTAGTTAGAGTAAAAAAAAATATTTTTGTGCCACTTAAGATAGAAAACTTTTTAGATAGAACAGATATTTCGGAATTTTTCGCGGATTTATTTTGGATTTGGTTCCCGACGTTTCGAATGCTTTACAGCAATCAAAATCATGGTCATGGGAGAAAAGTCTCTCACCAAAAATCTAAATAAATCCACGAAATAACCCGAAAATATAATTTTATTTGAAACTAGCGACTCACCCTCGCTTCGCTCGGGTTCGTCCCTAGGTTGATTCCCCATACAAGCTTTCATCCCCATTTTCACCCCCTTAAGGGATTCCGGGATAATAATGGGGGTATCCTATGTCCTTCCCAGGGTCTCATACTATCTTCTTACCAAATTTCATCTAAATCGGTTCAGTAGATCCAGAGATTACCCCCTACAACGTCACAAACTCACAAACTTTACCTCTTTATAATATTAGTATAGTTGTTAAATGTTCGCGTAAATCTAAGAAATATATGATAAAAGACGATTTTTTATTACTGAAAATAATGTCACAATTTTTTTCGAGAACGACATACTTTTTAATACATAAATGTATGAACGCACGCAGCACTTTAATATATTCTACTAGCGACTCACGAATCACCCTCGCTTCGTTTGGGTTCGTCCCTAGCTTGCTTCCCAATACATACTTTCGTCCCCATTTTCACCCCCTTAAGGGATGATTTCCGGGATAAAAACTATTCTATGTCCTTCCCAGGGTCTCAAACTATCTTCTTACCTAATTTCATCTAAATCGGTTCAGTAGATCCAGAGATTACCCCCTACAACGTCACAAACTCACAAACTTTACCTCTTTATAATATTAGTATAGATCAGTTATTATAATTGCTGTAAAATCAACTACTTAACTTTTTTGTTTCTGAGAAATTCTCGCCTTAGCTGAACATCGAAACCAAAATATGACAAGTGAAAGCCATGGGATAATCGTGCTAAAAATAACTGAGTTTTTCATGATAAATCAAATCTTCGATATATTAAATACGTGAAAATAATGTTTTTTTTTTTAATTTTTTAAGTAGTACCGAGGAGTGTGAGCTTCGGCATAGTGACAGTTTGTATGGAGAGGGACGGCAGTGAGTTGACGTTTATCGAGTAGCTTTTGCCCGCGGCTGCGCTCGCGTAGATTATTTATATATAATTTCGTTATTCGTAACAAGCTCTATTGTAATGTTAGATAGCATATACTCGTATTTTATAGTTTTAATCTCATAAACTATAAAATTATAAAACTCGTATTTTATAATTTTATAGTTTATACTAATATTATAAATGTGAAAGTTTGTGGATTTGGATGAAATTTTGTATAGAGATAGATTACAGTCTGGAATAACACATAGGCTTTTATCACGGTAAAATACACGGTTTCCGAGGGATAGATTTGTTTTTGTTTTTCTAAGGGCGAACCCGAGAGAAGCTAGTGTGAGCGCTAGCAGTATATAAAGATTTTGTGTTTATTTGTCTGTACGGGAATCTTTGGAATTGCGTGTCCTATTTGAAGAAAACTTTTGCATTTTATAAAGTAATTTTTGAGGTAGGATACATACAGACCTACCTATATATAATTGACTAAAGAATTTCAAAAACGTTGAAACATAATGAATTATGATCGTTTTCAGACCTAGGGACGTTCGCTAGTAATATAAAAACAGAAATATGCTCTAAAAGCTTATTAAACATAGGGCTTTGATTAAAACTATAACTGTATTATTTAATTTAAAAAAAATATATATTTTTCTATACAAAATTAAATATTAAAAAATATTTTTAATTATAGACAAAAAAGGATTTATTTGGAATTATTATAATGTTAACTATATTTTTTTTTAAATGACAAAATAAATATTGTTTTTTTTTTAAATAATATATGTATTTTTTTAAAACACTTACCATTGTGTAGCTGTGGATGTGACTGTGCAAGTGAAGCGCGCTCATCCTATATATACCTTATCCTCGAGTTGCTCGTTCGGTGGAATTTTAAATTATACACTAATAACTTGACGCCATTTTGTCTGAAAATTAAAAAAAACAGCTATCCCACGGGAACCTCCTTTTGGGATGCGATTAAGTATCTTATTATGTTTACTAGAGATACTTATATAGGTTAAAATTAGTAGTTTTTTTTAATAAGTTACTTTCTATATTATGACTTGTTTTAATTATGTTTTCGGAATTTAAGCATCTTAAATGTTACATCGAGTCAAGGTATTATTTTAAGAACTCTAAACTCTATCAAATAATTTTTACCGAGTTCAAAAATAGGTGCCTAATTAAAATTGTATTTTTTTGGCAATATGTTCGATAAGTGTGAAACCGATTTTCATGAAATTTTATTTAATGGATAGGTTAACAAAAAAATATATTTTTAAGTGATTTTCAAGTTGATGTAGTTTTTTAGTTAAATAGTAATTCATGTAACTTCTTTTTAAAATTTTCTTTTCTACAAAAAAATGGCTTATTATAATCTCAAGGGTATGGAACAAACAAACACGACACGTTTGGCTCAGTTTGTAGTGACCCTACTTGCTGTGCCAGCGGTCGCGGGTTCGAGTCCCGCTGGGGCATTTATTTGTGTGATGAGCACAAATGTGTGTACTCCAGTCATGGGTGTTTATATTTATAACAAGTATGTATTTCAAGTTATATATGTGTAGTGTATCAACTATCTGGTATCCATAACACAGTCCTCGTAGCTTACCATGGAACTAGATGGTGCTGTGTGTTAAAGTCGCAACATATTTACTATTAATTATTATTATTTATTAAAGATTTTTATTTTTAAATATTTGTAGTGGCAGTGAAAGTGCTGATGCAATTTTATCTAGCTATATAGCAATTGTATCGCGCCACGAACCCCAGATGTCCCGTAACCGCCTACCGGTTCGCTTGCCACTTATATTATTAAATTCAATTTAATTTTTATTTAAATTTAATCATTTATTTCAGGCAATATTTACTAAAAGATCTTAAATATGTAAACAGAGGCCCATAATATATATACTTTAAAAACTAACATATACTTATATTAAAACGAAGATATTATTAAAAAAGTATATATTGTGCTAGGGATATTTGTGCCTAACTTAAAGTGAATATCCATACTAATATTATAAATGCAAAATGTGTGAGTATGTCTGGATGTATAGATGTATGTATGTTTGTTACTTTTTCATGCAAAAACTACTGAATGGGTTTTAATGAAACTTTACAATAATATACCTCATACGTCAGAATAACACGTAGGCTACTTTTTATCCCGTAAAAACGTATGGTTTCCGTGGGATAGGTTTGTTTTTTCTTCGGAGACAAACCCTAGCGAAGTGAGGGTGAACCGCTATTAATAAATATATCGTCCGTGAACTTCTGAGATTTTCTATCTAATTTTACAGAAGAAACATAATTCATAATAATTAATTTAAAAAAAATGGAAAATTTTGGTAAAACTAATTAGTTGATTGTTATTTACGTCTTTTTATGAAATCATAGTTAAATGCAGTTAGTATTATGTTGATTTGCCAAATGGTGGCATTAAAATGAAGTTTTGTGCAAAAATGCTAATTAGGCTATATCATAAGTTCATGGACGATATATATAGACTAGCGACTCACTTTCGCTCCGCTCGGGTTCGTCCCTAGTTACGTTTTAACGTTTAGTATATATTTCTCAGAGATGAGATATTTTCCCGC